CGCAGGTCTCCGGCGGGCTCCCGCGCCAACCTGCGCCCGGGCGCGCTCACCTCCCGCGCCGCCCCGCCGCCGTTTATTTTCCGTGCACGCCTGCGACCCGTCCCTGGCCTTTTGCCCCCGGGGCAGCTCGCCTTCTGCACGGTCTTGTCTCCATTCCGTGCAATTTCAAACCTCCACGCTTGCTCATGCCTACGATACCGGCTAATTCTGGTTTGGCGGAGGAGATTTGCAGTCCTCTCACATGCACACTCTTGTGGCTGAATGAAGTTTATCGCTGCCCAGGTTATCACTGGAAATTTGCGTCTGAGCGAGTTAGACGATATAATCCAATAAAAGCAGCCAGGATCTGGATTTTAATGGCCATGGGTTTCAGTGGACTATATTAACTTCAGTGAGACTGGTAGAGTTTGTGTGGCTTTGTTGTATAGTTTATCAGCATAATAAATAATTTTCCATAAATATTCCTCCCTTAGAAGAAGAAAGGAGTTGTAGAAATATCCTTCTAGCTTTTCAAAGTAGTATTTGGCCCTCAGTTGTACCTTTCTGAGTCAACTGTCCTATTCTCATAGACATTAATGAGGTATACATACTCCAATATGAATATTTGAATATTTGGAGTGAATTTATCCAGGCTAAAGAGACTGTATTGCAGAGATGCAGCAATAGATGCAAGCTTCCCATTCCCCAGGCACCAAGAAAAAGATTTATCTGAGCCTGTTCCCACTGTTCTCTGGGAATGTCCAACCACTTGTGCGTAAAGCTGAAGGCATAACTTCATACCATAGCCTGTGTTATTTCAGGTCAGCCATGACTTTGTCTATCCCTGTCTTGAAAACCTTCAAGGACAGAGACCCCACAGCCTCCCCGGGTAGCATGTTCCAGTGCAACACCATCCACATAGTCCAGTCTAAACCCAGCTTGTGGCCTCTGCCCCTTGTTTTACCATCTGCCACTACTCAGAAGAGTTTGGCTGCATCATCTTTGTCACTACCCTTCAAGCAGTTGTAGACTGCTATCATATCTTCCCTTATTTTCTTCATTTCCAGACTCATTGAGCCCGGCTTCCTCAACTTCTCCTCACAAATCCTGTACTTAGGCTCCTTACCATCTCAGTAGTCCTCTGCTTGACCCTCTCCTATTTCTTGACATCCTTCTTGAACTGAGGAGCCCAAAACAGGACCCAGTATTCCAGGTGGGGACTCAGCAGTGCTGAATAAGAAGGAATAATAATTTCTATTCACGGGCTGTCCATGCTTCCCTCCTATTGCAGCCCAGTTTATGATTTGCTTCATTCACAGTGAAAATACCCTGTTGGCTGATATTCAACTTCGTGACCACTGTGACAGCCACATCCTTTCCAACTGGGCTGCTGTTCAGCCAGCCTGTACTGGTGCATGGCACTACTCCACCCCTCGTGCAAAACTCTGCACTCTTGTTAAACTTGAGTGAGGTTTCTGTTGACCCAATCTTTAAGTTTTGCAAAGTGCTCTACCCTGAAGCTCCATTGTTTCATGTGAGAACCACCCCTCCTAATTTAATATTGTCTGAAAATTTCCTGCAGGTGCTCTCTGTCTTGTCCTCTCAGTCATAGCGAAGGTAGTGAACAATGCTGGCCCCAGTATTGACCCCAGAGTGGAGGGCTTGCTACGGGCCAGCAGCTGTACCTCAAGCCATTAATTGCTACCCTTCAAGCCCAGCAACCATCTGATTTTCAATCCATCTAGCAGTTCATTCATCCAGACCATACCTCCTCAGCTTTTTCCTCACCTTGGGCTCTAACCACCCGCCCACCCCTGTTGCTCAAAATGGCAGCTGTGCTGGAGAGCGTACAGACTGCTTTCAGCCCTTTGAAAATGTGTATTGATGAAAATATAAAGCGCTGATTTAGCTTCCCAGCACTTCTCCCACACTACTGCTGCAGTGCTGATGACTCTCTTTCCTAAGACTCTGTCATTACGTCCCCACTCTACTTCCCATGAAATAGTAGTACTGCAGTGATTGATAAGGAAATAAAGATTTGAAATAACAGTGTGGTCACTGCAGCTTCAAGATACAGAAAAGAGAAAGCATCATGCTCTCAGTTTTGTTCAGTCCTTGAACATTTAACCAGTGCTAGGCATCACCAAATAAACTGGCTATCCCTTGCTACACAGATGTTGTTAAAAGAAAGATATTTTATGATATTTAAAGATTTCGCCTCCTCTTCCCTTCAGTTGCCCAAAAGAGTTACTGGATAATTTGGTATATTTTGAAGGGCATTTCATGTTGGGCTTGAGTTTTTTAAAAGAGAAAACAAGATAGAGTTAATATTTTCACTTGGTACAGAGATTGCACTGTAGTATAGTTTTCTTATGCCCCAAAAGCTTGTGGCTCCCCTTCATTACAGGGGCTCCAGCCTGTCAAACAGAACTCTTGCATATTTTCTTGTCTTTCCTACTGCCTTTCTGAAGAGAATCCTTGGCATCTTTTGAGGATTTCCCGCAGTGCAACATTCTCAAAGAATACACCAGGAGGGCATGAACTCTTTCAGCAATCCCCCTTGCCTCCTCAGATGATAGCTGCAGAATCTTACCCAAGTGGGAAAGACTGTGAACCATCCTGCTATCTTCAAGTTCACTCAAGACTGAGTGTAGATCATGGGAATGGAATTCCAAAGTGGAAGAAAAGCAACATTTTATCATTGCTGGCATGGAAATTAACATTCTGACATTAATTAGTTGTCTTTTCTCTTTCTTCCCTCCCCAAGAGCTGACGCATTACAGCAGCTACAGATATAGGAGTGAACAGGAGAGTGTCCAATTTTCTTAGATTCTTCAGGGACATCATGTCCAAAAAAATCTTGCCTATATCCTGAGAAAGATGCGGGAGAAAGCTTCCTGAAGTGTGTTAAAAAGGCAAAAGGATGGTCCTCAGCAGATGGGGATGCTGAAAAGAGAAACAGTCCTGCCTCAGAACAGGATTCCTATTGATCAAATGTCATACTCAGATTCACACCAGAGATTGCCCAGCAAAACTGAATATTGCTATTCCAAATGTGGAATAGCAATAGCAAATGAGGAATAGCTATAGCAAATGTGGATTTCCTCCTGCCATGGGAAGGGGGAGTGTGGCAAGAAAGGAAGGGGGAAGCAGTGGGAAAGGGACACTGACCTGGAGAAGGAGCCTAGGGAGCTGGCAGGGGGACATCAGGCTGGGCAGGAGTAGCTGGCTTCTGCTGCTGAATTGAACTGTTGTCACCCACATACTTTTAAGTCCTTCAGGAGCAGCAGTTGCAGCAAGCCCAGGTTTCCAGGGCTCATTGCAGATAAGGCTGTGGGAAAATGGCTCTTCTGCTACTCTTGATAGTCAATTCCCTAGTTCAGAAGTCACAGCACAGGGCAAATGGCACTCGCTTACAACACAAAGGCAGATCGAATAAAACAGTGTAATCTGTGCTTTTCCCCAGGCTCCATCCACTTTTTATAGTGTCCCACAGCGCACTAGGTGAGAGATCCAAGGATGTGGATTGGCAAGAGAATTGCCACAATAAGGCAACAGCTAGCTGATGTCTAACTTGACTGCCAGACTCTTAAATACGTAAGTTTTCTGTGTGTCCAAGAAGATACAAGACAAGTATGTTGATCACTGGAAAACAGTATAGTATGCAATGTGCTCTCAGCAAAAGTTTTCAGAAATCACTTTATGTATGTGTGATCTGCAGCCAGTTACTAGTGTGGACATGCCTTGAAGCCCAGCGAGTGTTCAGAGCGTTCCTTGCTCTGCCAGAGTTCTTTACAGGAAGGGCTTACATTTCTTTTTGTGCAGTGTTCTCGCCTTTTTTTTTTTTTTTTTTAGTTTCAGCTGTCTTCATTAGCAGTCAAAGTTGCATTTTGAGTAGGTAAAATAAACAATCATCTTATCAAAAAAATCCTATTAGTTGTGAGTGCTGTTGTTAACACTAACATGTTTTGCACATGCTGGTATCTCTCTCCCTCTTCTTGCTGAAAACATGTTAGCAGAGGGTGTGGTTGCCGGAGGTTAAACTTCACAAGTACCCTAACAGCAGGCAGAACTCAAAGGCCTTCCGCCTTCATTCACTGTTGCGCGCATAGTTACTTCCTCTTCTGGGTCAAACCTCTGTGTTATAAAATACCTCACAGTATTCTGTGAGAGCTGTATGACTTGCTCATGGGTAGCACCAGTTGCAAATATATTCCAGTAAGGTCAAATCTAGCATTCAACTAGTCAATAAAAGTCTTGATTTCACTGGTGCCAGGGATTAGTCCTTCGGTCTGTAGCATTCAAATCATAGTATGAATCTGTGTGCAGTAGCTTTCCAAATTTTCACTCTTGAAATTCATTTTACTCTAGTATGGTATGAAGTAAGTATTTTGCATATTCTTTTGTCTGTACCAATAAATTTGTTCTCACTGTAGATTAACTGTTCTAAGTAAGTTACTCACTTCACTCCATAATTCGCTTTATTCTTATCTTGATAGGCTCTTAAGTCAAAAGAATTGCCCGATATGTAAACAGTTTGAAAATATATGAAACATTATGCTGGTAAACTCTGAGCTGTTGTGAGGTGGATTTGAGTTGTGTAATTTTTTTCTGTTACTTTTTATTCCCTAGAGCACTAATGCCAGTGTTGCACTTGTTGATAAACAGATCATGAAATACGACAGCTTTTATGAAATGCTAACATTAACATTTTAATGACTTGAAGCTTATAAAATCCTCAAGCAATAATATCTTTTCAGAAAAGGTATTCTTTTGCCACAAAAACTGCAACAATAGAAAATTCATGAGAACAGAGGAAGTAAACATGATCAGAGACGCAGACAGGAGAGATACCTTGTCCTCTACTGGAATGAGAGCTGTAAACACTTTAGCTACACTATAGTAGGTAACTTACTCAGTTCGCAGCTAAACTACAGGGGGCTATTTGCAGGTCAAATCTCCTAAGGTCACCTGCACCAGTACTTGAAGCAGATATATTTTCAGGTAGCAGGAAGCTGCTAGGGGTGTTCTCATGGTTCCTCGGCTTTCTGCTCTCCTGATCTGCGCTGGTGGGTTCGAAGGGCCAGAGCACGACTGATCCGTGCCACGGCAAGACACAACGCAGACGTTCAGCGACAGTCGCTGTGAGAGTTCAACCAGACCTATCTGTACAAAAGCTGATGTCATCTGTCTGGGGTAGATTCATTGCCTCCATCTCAAGACGTGTTTTAATGTCACTTCTTCTTTTTTTCTTTTTTTATTTCTGTTCATATAGCACTTAGCACTTATATTTTCAATGGCTATCTTTTTCCCTGATAGAGGAAAAGACAATACTCCTTGGACAACTGTTTTTCCGTCTTTATTAAACTGCTTCTAGTTCTTTAGAAAATGAAAATAAATTCAAATAGGAGTACAGAATTGAATATATTTATTTGTTAGCATGTTATAAATTTCAGAAGTAAGCTCAAACATTCATAATAAGGAAGGAAGTAAGGACTGAGTTCCGTTTCTTTGTTGGTTTTACATCTTGACCGGTAAATAGAAGGGTTCCTTTGAAACTGATAAAAGCACAAAATAGACAATTGTTGCCTTGTGCTTAGTTTGTCCATTTCCCAGCATAAACATTTGCAGCTTTTCCAAGTCAATCACACTTGCAGTGCTACATGATTACTGTGCCGATGTACATATGAAACCCACAGCACATTTCTCCTTAACCCTTCTCAGGGACCTTTCTCCAATGAGCCTCGAGTGAAGTCAATGTTTTGGGGGGCTATCAACTTTTGATTCTCTGCCTTCAGTGGTAGCCCCACAGATACTGGGCATCGGGTGCCTGCTTCCAAAAAGGCGTTATATACATCAGAAACTTAGCCTTCTCCAGTATCTCTCAAGTAGACGGAGTGTCTCATGCTTTTGTGACCTGGAGCAGTTCTTATATGCTGCGCGTGGCACACAGATGACTATCTTGGGTTTTCTCACAATGTGACGAACTGCAAACCAGCAAGAACAAAATCCCATACAAACAGAAGTGAGAGATTATTCGTGTGGATATCGTGATCTGGATCATGGGGTTTTTTATACGGAAAGGAAGTGTTTCCAGATTTGGAACAGTTATGGTCTAACTGTCTTTGGGGCAATAAGACTTCTTTTGAGATAACAGGGTGAGCTTTGGGGTGTAAGGCCTGAATTCGTGCTTTGATTCCTAAACAAGCAGTGGAAATCCCGTGGCACCAGTGAGACTGATTCCCTGTTTCCCTTCCACAGGGCAGTACAATATAGGCTACTTTGTTGCATTGTCAAATTAGTAATTTTTTGAAAAAATTTTACCATTTCTGTTACTTTTGCTATTTATTTTAGACTTTTTTATTGAAACGTTAACTTCCTTGTCTGAAGAAATCAGCATTGTGAATGGAAGAAAAAAATAAATTAATCGAAACTCAATTGTACACGGACATGAAGTTAAATAACCTGTGTTCATTGTTCAGTCATGAGGAACACAGCAAGTAATCTAGCAGAGGTGAAATTTTTGATTTTGGGGCTTTTAAATTTTAGAAATTACTTCATATTTGCTAATATAATGTATTAACTTGTTCTTTTTTTCAAATTTGATATTATTACTTTATAGGATGTGGTCTCTGATTGTTTTCAGAATCTGCCTAGCAACAAAAGATGCTCTCACTCCCTCTACTGGATGATAATAAAATAGCTTTCTTTCCCTTTTTGCGATATGTAAGTAATACAAATAAGAATTTCCAAATAAGAATATATCATGATTTGTGTTTAAATGTATAATATGCGGTGTGTTATATTAAGTAGTATATCATAATAAGAGATATTTTCATAGCAATGTTTTTTCTGCAAGCGCACTGGTTTTAGAAGTGAACCTTAATGATATGATTTGTAAAATATATATGCACATAAAATATTTACAGATGGGAACGTACATGTTTAAAATAACAATAAAGGCCCAGCAGTTAGGATAAAAAGAAACCCTAATTTCAAAAGTAAAATACAGTATGCTTAATGTGAACACAGGAGTGCAGGAATTAAGCTTGCATGTTGGTATTTGCTTGATTGATCCTTGATATAAAAAGCATGGGCTTTTTATTTTAATCCAAGTGTTTCCAGCATTTGTGTTGTTCACATTAAGAGAAAAAGGAGGTTGCTACAACACTTGGATCCAGTGTGTATCCATGTTTTTCTCAAAATTAGGGTTTGTTATGATCTACTGATTTGCTTCAGACTCCAAAAAAATTAAAAAAAAAACTTCATAAACATCTTCTGAGCACTTTGCTCAGAACGCAGACTGCTTATGTAAGCAATGATTTACCAAACTAAGTAATAAGATATAATATAAGCTATTAGGTATAAGGTACCTAATAAGAGTAGTGGAAAATATTTTTTGTGTATTACTGATTAAACTTCCAGAATATGCCAATAATTACCAGACTTCTAGTTTCCAACATATAATTAAGAGACTATTGTTTCTAGCCTACATTCCTGTTACCATTTTCAGTGGAAGGTTTTCTTTTCTTATTCTGCTCCTGAGCATCCCTTTAACCTATTTTTCTATTTTGTGGGTTTATTATCTCACTTTTTGTCTTAATATTTTTGTTTTTCTTCCCTGTTGCTGTGCAAAACTTCCCATAGGTAGGTGGAGAAGCTGCCAGGACAAGGGAATTTGAAAGGAGATGTGCTTGTGCTTACCTCCACCGTCTTCATTTTTTAGGGAGAGGGGCTTGTACCACCCGCGGTCGCCGTTTTGCACCGAGCGTGTCACTGTGTGTGTTTTGGTTGATTTGTTTGTGCGCGTGCTGTTCTTTCTCTGTGACTAAAGGGTAACACAACTATTCAACAAGTGTTGGGAGACAGTTCTGGGTTGCCACCGTCTCAGTCGAGTACCAGCAGAAAGTGGATCTCTTACCGTGTGCCAAGAAGAGAAAAACTTACTTTCTTGTACAACGGCAGTGACTCCCAGGCCTGAGCACAGCCCTGTGGTGCAACGAGTCCCTGGAGCTGCAAGCGCTGTCGGCAGCGCAGAAAGTTAAAGCGCGGGGTGAAACGGCGTGGCAGGAGCTGGTACAGAAGAGACGGTGGGACAAATGCCAGGGTCACCTCCTGACGGCGTCTGCGTCCCAGCCGGAATAGTGGCGGGGACAAGGGGGGGGCTGCAGCGGCGCTGCCCTTTCGTCCACGTTAGAGACGGGCTTGCTGGAAGGCACCTCCGCTTTGGGGTCTGACGAACCGCCGACAGCAGCTGCGGAGGTCGGGCAGCGCTTCAGGGAGGGTGAGAGCACAAAAAGCAGGAAGCAAAGCGCGAAAGGGACAGTTGTCCACTGGCTGTTTGCACCATCAGGTGGGGAGTGAGAAGTAGCAGGCTGCCGGCCAGGAGCACGCGCAGCCACCGCGTTCGTTGGTAATGTGCTCTCCCAAGTGCTACGTTCCTTTCCCTTTAGCGTAATAAAGAAGGTAATAAAGATAATCAGTTTGTGAGGGAAACAGCGCTGGCTGCTGGGGCAGTCAAACCAAGTTGTTACTTCTCTCAGATTTCAAAATGGAGCCTCCAGCTACTGCTCCTTGCTAGTTTTAAAAGCAGATGCTTGGAGATGGCCTCCCTTCTGCTGCTGACTGCTACAGCAGAAGTGTTACCCACCCACAAAAGAAGAAAAAAGAAAAGAGAAACTCTTAAATATTCTCTAATTGAAATCAGTTGATTATCTTTGGAGTTGCCTTAAGAGGGAACGCAGATGTCATTGTAATGCTTTTTAAAAAATGAGTTAAGAAAGGAGTTTCTTGCTGAACTCTTGCAGAAGCTTCATTCTGGAAGCACTGGCCTCCTTTGTTTACGTTACAAAAAGCTTTTTCCCCAGATTAATGTGTTCCTGACTTGCAGATGATGGTTATTTCAGCCTCTTCCCATTTTTGGGTGCCTTATCTCCGTTTTCAAGATTAAATATTGCGGATCCACTTCTCAAGGTTTTCTTTAAAAAGAAAGACATATGCTTTATTCAGCTCATTTTGTTAGTGACCTCACAGTTATCTGTGTTTGTATTTTTAATTAATTTCTTAACAGAAATGTAATGAGAATCTAATGAGAAGCTACAACTGGTATTAATGAGGCTTCCTGGAAGGCACAGTCACCACAAAATTCTAGCATCCATTAAAATAATAAGGTTTCTGCCCCTCTAGTTACTGCTTTTCCCAGGTGGAGATATTTCCCTCTAAAAGTCAAGAGTTTTTCGTCCTTTGTCACGGTGCTGAGCGCTTTCTCTGCTGGTTCCTGCAAATGCAAAACCCTCCAAAAACAGACATTTCATGAAGCAAGGTGAAAATGAGGTTGAAATGGAGAGTGGCCGCCTTGTCGCACCAGGGGGTGCTGTTCCACACGGCGAAACAAACACAGAACAAAATGAAAACAGCAATCACTCTGGAAAAACAATAGCTGTCTTTTCTGAGTGCCTGCCGCTGCAGTCTGCAGCCATGCAGCCCTTGGCAACACACTGGTATTTACTAGCGGTCAAATAGTTAGTAGAGAAATTGATGCTGCAGAGTCCTATAGTTAAATAATTTTACATCTGTTTCTTTCTTTTGTGTATGCTAGCATTTGGTACATATTCGACTTTCTTTTGGCATGGACAGAAAAAGCTGCCTGTACATCACATGCAGATGTGACTCTTTTGTCAGATGTAAATCAGGAGTAATGCTTATTAAATTAGTGGAATGAGAGCAATTGGTACCAGAATCAGCCACATAATGGTTTCTGAAAGTGGTTATTAGATTATTTGGCAAGGATGTATAATTCAACTATTTTTAGCACTACTTTTAATCAAAATCCTTCCGAAGTCAAAAGAGGTGAATTAGATTTAAAATATATTTTTAATTCCTGTATTAGTTTACCTTAAGGCTTCTGACAATTTACTTAAGTTTTAATATGCAATTTAAGTAAAGTCATCATAAAAAAGTGGCTGTATCATTCAACAAATAGTTATTCTAGATCCCCGGAATTTTAGAAAAGTCTATTGCATTAAATAAGAGCTGTTAATGCTTGTTTAATGGCTTTCATATGCATAATTCAAAGCGCTTTAGAAATCATTATAAATATCATATTGTTTTACAAATAGCGATATTTACATCACAGAGAAGTCAGCAGAAACACCTAAAGTGGACAACTGAGAAGACTGGGAATAATGAGTAAGTCCCTGACCCCATTTTAGTGACTCTTTGAACCAAAAAGCGGGTAGTCTTGGTCAGGCCGCCAGGCCTGATCATCCTGGGCCTTTGAGGAGGTTACAAATTATGTGTAGCAAACTTTTAAAGCTCTGGTGTTCACATCAGGCTCTGAAAGTTGCCCATAGCGTGAATATTTATTGAAATGTGCCTACATCAGTTAGAGAGGAGGATTCCTCGCTGTCAGCTGCAGTGTTCTGAGAGCAGAGAATACAGTAGAGAGAGTGTATGTCTGGCCCCCATGTTAAAGTAAATTATCTTGGTCTTTCTCCCTGCAGTTCTTCTGAGGAGGTGGGGAAGATTCTAGGTCTCACCTTGGCGTCGCTTTTTGACAAAAAACTTGTTGAGCTAACTAGTAAACATTACTTCATGATGAGGTCTTCAGTTTCTGCAGTTTCAGCAGCTATGGAAACAGAGCCAGTTTTATTCTGTGACTAGCCAACTGCAAGCCTTCCTTACCATCTACAAAGTTAGGACAGAGTCCCATGGCCTGACTCTGCCAGAGCGCTCCAGGCAGTTTTAGGTAACCGTTCTTACAGCATCACTTGTCAGGCCAGGGTTCTGACTTGCGCACGAACGGTACAGAGAACGCTCATCAGCAGACTGCCAAGTCTTGGTTTCAGCGGAGAGCGCAGTGAAAGAAAACAGTTACTAAATCGTTCAGATACGAAATTATTTTAACTAATTTCACCCTCAGTTTCATTCATCACTAATTAAAGTTCATTAATAAATAGGAAAAAAAAACAACAAAAGCCCTACCCATTGATAGAAAATGTTTTATGAAATACTTTGTTTATAGTAAATAGGATAAACTGGAAAGAAGACTAGAATCTGCAAATATATGCACTGACTCTAAAAATTGCCAATAAGTCTTTCATGGAGTTTCCTAAAAGGTAGAGGTCTCATTATTGCCTATTTAGCAAAGATCAAGTCCATAACCAGTTAACACTTAGGACGCTAATCCGGCAATGTGCACATCTGGGATGTAAACGATATAGATTTTTTTCTGGAGATATTTATTTAATTTGGTTGTTTTTCTTATGTTTAGAGATCTAGGTCTCCATTTCAAGTTGCTAGCTATCTTAACTCTCTTGTTTTGCGAGCTTATAAGTCTTCTAATATTTTGGAAGTCTTATATCTATCTACTTAGTCCTTTCTGAAATTCTGTCCTCTTTAAGATATTTCAAATTTAACACCTAAAAATTGAGATGCTTTGGTAGCAGTACAGTGTATTGTTAAAGGTATCTGTATGTGGTTTTTAGTACAGTTAATAATTCATTTTCTTACAGTTAGCTAGATCAGACTGCAGCTGCTCCATTGAAATCTGTGGGTGTTCTAGCCTTGACAGCAGCGTGAGCCTGGCTGTGCTTTAACCTAGAGGCTGTGCGGTGTGTTCAGCTGTTTTTTACCTTACTTAGCTGCCGATGATAACATCACACTAGTCAGAACAATGAGGAGGCAGAAGCAAAGCTAAAATTGAAGTTTAAAGATCTGACTCATTCAGTTTCTGTCACGAGAAGGTGCAAATTGCACTTCCTGAGCTTGCAGCACACCTAGCAAACCTCAGTTACAACCCAGCCCAAACAGGCAATGCGCTATGCTATGAAAGGGCCTACTCACCGGCTCAGCGTATGCCCATCTCACTCGCATGTTGTTGACCCCTATCGCGGGTTTTAAGGTCTGCAATGGCTGACTGTAGAATCTCAGCAGACAGAGGTCTCCTTATAATTTTCCTTACTGCTTTTGTAATCTTTGCTTGCTGCCATCCGTAGAGGGCAGGTTGTAGTATCAGTATCCTGACAATCTTCTGTAGAACAAGAACTTGACCAACCTAGGAGCCTTGCCTTCTCTGCCCTTAACTTTTGATATTGATAAGCAGAATAGTGGTAATTACCAACCTTACCTGTGGTGATAGCAGTATTTTGCCTGTTTTTCTCAGAAATAGCAGTAAACTTGATTCTCAGATGTATTTGTTTCATCAACCAAAATAATTTCATGATCCCAATTCCATATAATTATTTGCAATAAAAATAGAGAGCTGATAAGTGCTCTAGGGTCCTGTTGAAAGCATGTTGCAACCCTTCTCAGGTCATAAACCCTCTACAAGAAATATGAACAAACTGGAATGGGTTGTAGTAGTGTAAGTCAAATTAAGCTTATACTGTGTGTGCGGATAGCCACGAGGTATGCTCAGGAGGAGGAACCAGCAAAAGGAAATTCTGCCTGGAAATCTGTGGTAGCTGGAGCAAAGGAGGATCTTTCGAGGGCAAGTCAGGGAAGACTGTCCATATGCTTTGCCCAGTGCCCTTGTCATCACACAAAGTATTCTGGTGCAGATACTTGGCTTGCTGGATGCTGTCTTCTACATAGCGTGCGAGGCTGCCGCTGCTGGTTAACTTGAAAAAAATAAGGCATGCTCCAGGTAACTTTTTAGGACATTTGTATATGGCTACTTTGGGGGGATGGCTGTTGTCATTCTAATGCTTGGAACCAGAATTTGGCTCCCAAAAATTGAGGTTTTGCAGTTGTTTTGCCTACCTTTTCCAGGCCACATATGCTTTTCTTCCGCACTCCAAATTCACTGTGTGCGTTTGAGATTCTGAAAAAACAAGAAGAGAGTCCCAGGAAGGATTTTTCATTAAAGCTGGGTTAGTAGTCCAATGATATTGTTATTGATATGTATTTATCTCCACAGCACTTCGAAAGTGCTTTCTTGAACCTCCCTGAACAAACGGAAGGCTATAGTACGCCATATACACAGCAATGATTCAGTTTTAATTTGATGCAAAAAGTTGAGTAATAAGCAGCCAGAATGGGTAATGCTGCTGTAGAAGGAGGTGTGTTTGCTCAGTCACACCTTGTATCTTATTTATCTAAGCTTACCTAACTGAGTGCCATGACCTGTAAGAATCACTCAACATACTACCCGTTGGGTAATCTTTTCCATAGTCCTTCTCGTATTACTTTTATTATCCTGTTATTTAATGGGATCTATCTCTAAAATATTTTTATATATTTCTCAGAAGATTTTAAAACGGTTATGAAGACTTTTCTTTGTGCTAGTTCACTTGGATGAAGGGGCAGGTCAGGTGAACTATATGCAATTACATAGCATATATTATTCATGCCATAATAAAAAACCTAATGAGAGCTCACTTTTTTCTGGTCTACTCTGGGGTGAAATAAAGACTTTTATAAAACTTTCAAAGAGGAATCCTAGAACACATATTGGGAACCCAAACAATATTGAGAGAGTCTTGGAATTTCCTCCCCAGATGAACCAAAAAAAAATGGAACAAGTGAAGAAGTTCCCTTTTGTGCTAAAGAGACTCAGAGTGGCTCACTTGTGTATAATATGCCCTAGGCTACTAATGAAGGTTCTCTTTAACTCAACTATTAATTAAAAATATTGCATTCTAAGTAAGAGCATGTTAATTCTGTCACTTTTTTCTTTATATAAAATTTGAAACAAAGATGGTAAGCATACAACAACCATGAAATTATCATATTCATGCAATATTTTTATCTATAACTTGCTATTATCATATTGGTTGAATCTGTGGTGGGATAACAAGAGGTAGGAGCTGAACATATAGATTAAGAGTGCAATAAATTTTCACCATGCGCTCCGGTTACTGACTATGTTCTAGCGATAAAAGTGTCTGGAGATACTTCTACATATAGAAACCTTGTGGATTTTTGAAAATGTCACCTTTAAACATTATTACTACTGATAGTTTTTTCAAAGTTAAGGATGTAAAGGGCTTTTTAAATGATATACATATTAGAATTAATGGTCTCCTATAAAGTACAGTGCATGTTGTAAATACCTACAGAAAGACTTACGTTCTAAAACCTTAAAGACATCCTAGCCAGTTAGTTTTTCAAAATATTTTTTTTATTTTAGCTTCATCTTAATTTCTTTTGCTTCTTCTTTTACAATGAGTAGTACTTTTAACAACACAGAGGAGGAAACAGAAGCATGAATTACACTACTGCAGTTTCAACAGAGAAAAAATACAAGGTAGGTTAACTATTGTAAATGTACAATCAAATTGCACAGTATTCCTTTAATTATCAGATGTTAATAGGCATGAGTGTACTGTTGAAATAGACATTATCCCTTTTTTTTGAATTTCATGTTTTGCAAATAAAAGCTTGGATATTCTCTGCATTCAAGTCTTCACTATAAAGGGATGAATTATGACTACAGTTTGTGTGGCACTGAAAGCACAGAACTGTAGTCAGTAGCCTAAACTTCAGATCACTGTTCTCAGCAGTAAGAAGAACAATTTCTGGAAAATATACTTTTATTTTATATTTAAACTGTGCAGGATATATTTGAAAACTACTCTTCAAACTCTTGAATGAGTCTGCTCCCTAAAGTTTTATGATATATGTCTTTAAATATTACAAATAGATTAACACTTTTCAAAAATGTCTACTTTTGAATTACTTTTAGATCATCATTCTCAAAATTTAAGTTCACTGTGTTCCTATACAGACTTTTTGTATGTGAAACTTCTCCAGATGACGTTCCTAAATTTCAGAATAGATCATTGGTTTGAAAACAAGGTAGTTTTGAATATGTTCCATCTTCTTAACTTTTTACCTATACATTATAAATATGTTTATATATAATATACATATATATATATGTGGTTAGCAACATTCTTTCTCACAAAATGATTCTAAATAAGACTGGGACACAAAGCTGGAAAGCATTTGGTATAAATTCCCACACTCCCATTACAACCTAGTCTTGTCCCATTGAAACCAGCAGTAAAACCCCTTTTGCTTCAGTGGAAGAGAAGCCATTACATTAGCAGGAATTGTAGGTAATTCTTCTGGTGTCATGTTCCTCAGTTTCTGATCTAGTTATTTACATTTAAGGACAGTAAAGAAAATAGAAATTCTCCCTCCAGACACCTAGGTTTCCTTTGTTTTTAGTTATAGTGAGGGTCATTGTGGGCCCAGGTGGGAGGGAACAGAAAATCAGATATCAGAAGTTTAGATCATGAAAAAGAGAACCTCCTGGGAGCATATATAATAGTTGTGAGAGGAAAGATGTTGTCAGAATGTAATTAATTAGGACACTTGCACGCTGTGGAGAGATGATTGTCTTTAAATAGCAAGGGTGATTGTATTAGCCCTGTATTGCAACAAAACATTGTTCCTGCTAATGTATTGCTAATTATCATACAGGTGGCAGAGAAACCTGTAGACATATTACAAACGTGGATAGTTTTCCAGATCTTATTTAATCATCAGTGTGACCTTTTCACAAGCAGTGCCTTTCTAGCATCACTTTGTAATTTACATTTTTCTGGTTTGTAACTGTCCCATGTTAGACTTATGATTAGGATTAGGCCAGAATCAGAACTGTTTATGTGGTGATAATTAGGAATGGGATTCAGTTGCCTAAAAACAGACTTCTAGTGCCTTTTGAAACACACTGAGCTGCCTAAAACATCCATTTGGGGCTGTGAGATATGATACAGGTCCTACAGGAGACACTTATTCTTCTGGAGCAGAACATGCTTGCAAGGCAGGATACTCTATAGCTGCTTGTATTTAGGCAGATGAATCCCCTCACCCTGTCCCCAGCAGTCCGTGTGGAGTCAGCGCTGTCACAGCTACTACCACAGCTGGAAGGGGAGCTCCTTCTCGCATCACGTAGCAGTATCACTCTGACTGCATGAAGAACCATCTGGTCTCCTTAGAGATGGGTGCTTCATCATGACACTGGCTAAGCTACAGTGAATACCCAGCCCTGAATATCAGGTTGGCCTCCTCCTCTCAAGAGGGTGGAGCTTCCTTCTGCTGGGAGCTTGTGCTTTCTGCTTTGTACTACCAGACCCCTTCAGAGGCCAAATAAATAAATTTATATACATATTTTTACAGTGAACAAACTTCACTTTCAGAGTTTTAGTTTATTCAGATTATACAAATTTTGCAAACGTGTCTAAGCAGTGTCGAAGTAAAAATTAGTATGGACCCTTGAAAATCAATAGATGTTGCACAAAATAGGGGTAATGAAAGATAGTAACAAAGAGGTGAGAGTGAATGGTAGTCTGATTTTTGTTTCTCTTAAATCTTTTCTATTTGATTTATCAGTGTAATTCCCTTCACAAGTGCCTGAAATAGTATGACTAGCATCCATATGACTTTATTCCTTTACATTTGCCAGAAAGTGGAAAAGCTTTACTGCTAGGGATAGTCAAATCAAAAACTTCAGATGAAATCTGTGATGCTTTTAAAATTAAGTATAAGCTTTAGCTTCACATTTAAATACTGCTCATGCACAAACAGATTTCATTTCCTGTCAAATTCAGTGTTAACATCTTTTAAGCTTTTGTAGTACTGGAAAATCTTGTGCAAGGTGAAGACTTTTATTCTCTACCATATGTATGTACTCAGTCAGTAGAACAAGCAGGGAGATATAGCACTGTAGTTATTTAGATCCGGACACTGCTACAAGAGAGCTGAAGAAAAGTTTCCCAGAAAAATAGCAGCGTAGCACAGACTGACACGTAATTTAGACTCCACAGTATGTCATGGAATTGCTGTAGTGAAGGCCATGAAGTTTTAGTTGGACAAATGGCTAAATTAGGGTAAGCTGTCTCCCAGTGCCTGCCAAAGCTGCTCTGGGTTATTTTGGTAGAATAGTCTACCAAATGAGGACAGCTCAAAGGTCACATAAAACTTTGGCATCTCAGAAATCCTATTTTCCTACAGTCAGACAAGTAAAACCTGTGAGACTTTGTTTTGGTATTTCTTATCCACATACAAGTAGAGTTGAGCTAATGAAGTAACAGGAGTATAAAGCCAGTCCAATCTCAATGAGAGGAAAAGACAGTGATATCCTTTATAAACAAAGATAAAACAAAAATCTTAACTCTATCCTTGTGCTTGAACTTTCAAGTTTGCAGTGAAAATCCTGCTG